CACAATTAAGGAAAACGTTGGAGGTAGCCAGTGAGAATTCAAAGTAGAGGGGGACATGGGGGGTTCTGAATACCGCAACACCACAAACAAAATAGAACAAACACCGCATCACCGCAAGAAATATTATCAACACGCCGACACCGCAAGATTTACTTGGTCTAAATGTTTTTTTTTTTTTTTTTAAAAACGTAATTACCGTTACTTCTACTTTTCAAACACAAGAAACACATCACAAGACAATCCTACCGCCTTCTCCGCATGTAAAATTCCTTGCTGTCGTCTACACTTCATTCTAAGATGAGCCAAAGAAGTTACTGTTGCCAAGTGATACGACAGTGTTTCCGTTGGGTCAGTCTTCCGTCCTTTGAAGTTATAACATATTCCCGCAAAAAGTGAAGTTCACAGTTTGCTTCCTTTGATTTCACGACTTCCTTTGTCTAGTTTTTTTTTGTTTCAAATCCATTTTCTATTTCATAAAAAATTTTATACAGTTAGTCATCGTGGGGACTAACACTATAGCAGCTAAGTTTATCGTTTGTCTATCTATGTGGTCTACGATGATGTCGACTAGTTGTGCTTCATCTTATAAAGAACCGGGTGGTCCGCTGTCATTCATTGGTTTAGCAATAACTGTGGTTGGCATATAAACTCAGGGAGAGTACCATGCTTTGCCATGGTCGTCGTTGAAGGATAAACTGCAACACCAGAAATGGTTTATTTCACCGAACACCGTCGGTTTGAAGCTACAAACATCGTAAACCGTAAGCTTTGAGATCATCGCAACACCGCGATACCAATTGTTCTTCACCACAATACCGCATCAAAAAAAGAGTCAACACCGCAACACCGCAAACCCCCATGTCCCCCTCAAAGTAACATGCAGCAAGCACACTGCCTGAAGCGCGGGAAAACGCGAGCCGGAAAAAGACGGGGGTTGGTTTTGGTTTTGCGCTTGATTGATTTCTTGAAGCAGTGCAAGATTGTTTTTAAACCAGTTACAAAGCCTCTGCGGCGAATTAAAAACAAAACAATTCAATCCTGGATTTCCTTAAACATATTCCTGGCTACGATTCGCAGATATCTGAATGGTTCTCCCCCTTGGCATAAAAGACGGCTTCATGTCTACTTCAGTATTCCCAATCGAATTGAGATCACTTGATAATTCATGAGAGAGACTGCTATTTTTCTGTTTGTACCTTCGAATTCCTTGCACTCAGCTGAGTGTAAAAAAGTGCACAAGACGGCAAGCTGCTAAAGGAATCACCTTCTGATCTGAATCGGGTGGTATCAAGGCTGAAAAAAAGTAAGCCCAATTTTGCTAAACTGACGGAGGTGAGACCTGTTAGATGAACAGTTTGAAAACAAAATAAGAAGGTCATCCTCCATACTTAGTAGATTTTAGATGTCTTTCATTCGGTTGTCACCCAAAAAATCCACAGTACATATCTGAGCTGAATGGATACTTTAATCGTTATTTTTTGTGCTTGGAGAAAAAATTTACTTTTCAGTTTGTGTGTCATATTGTAGTTATTGCAAGTTATTTTACAGACGGTGTACAACATGTTAGGCTGTTTCCTGCTGATGTAAAGGGCGCAAGAGGCCTTGTTCGCTTAGTGTCACAGGTTAAAGTTTTTATAAGACAAAATGGCAGGAAAATTCGAGATACATGTACCTGAGTTTAATTTTACAGGTCCCTAATCGTTGTATGAACTACTCGCGGTTTAATGCCACGAAAATGTCAATGGAAAAACGTTTATGTCTTACGATTTTGCAAACATCTGTCTTGTTTAGCAGATTAATCTTACATATATAAAGCGTTTTTGTCTAAAAGGTCAAATCTAAACCTTTCGTGATGACAGACGAGACTGTTTTTGGTTCAAAGATCAAGACTGTCTCTTTTTCACCTGGCAACGATGGCTTTACGATCTCTTGTGTTCAGAAAACTTGCGAGGTTAATAATTCAGAATTTTGTTTTTGTTCCATCTCTGTTACTAATCACTGATTTTTTTTTAGATAAATAATTTAGTTTCCAATGTAAAGAAGCAAGTTACGCATTTCTGTCTAGGCCTTTACAAAACATCTTTGTAGTCTCCAGGAGGCTAATTTTAAAGGTATTTATTTAAAGAGAAACGTCTCGCTTTTGTCTTTGAATTCAAGGAGGTCTGTCAAGGAGCATCTACACCTGTGACAGGTGTAGATGCTCCTTCGTGATCTTACTATTGCGCCCACGATTTATCGCAATCTTTCAGCCGGGATACCAAATCCCACAGCCTGTGGACTCTTTCTGTCCTTTGAAATCGGTGATAATACTGAAGATCAGGGAATTATTTCAGCACCTCTTTCTGGTAGAACGCATTCGAAAACAATTAAAAACAGTTATCGAAAACACGTTTCTTACACAACCCTAGCAAACAAGGACTTTGCATGAACCTCAACAAGCTACACACGTGTTTCTTGGGTTTTTTTTTAAATTTTAATTTTCAGACAAGGAGTAGATAAATAGAATAAGAGAGATGGCAATTTTTTTTTTTTTTTATCGAAACGCGGAATATGAAGGTCTGAGGTTCGATTCCTCATGGAGACTCAGAATTTTTTCTTCGTGACAAGACGGAAAACATCCTTCTCTAAGGAGTAGATAGCTTCAGAACGCTTTGGCGATTGTGTCGCAAAGACAAAGCTGGTGAAAAAAATGATAGGAACAAATTTAAGGGAATTAGAAAAATACATAAAAAAACGTGACCGCCGCTGACCAAGTCATGATTTGAAACTTTAGTGTGGAACATGAAAAACTGAGAGAATGGCGCAAATTTTGGAGACCAATGATAACGTGAAGTACAGTACAACCAGTCAATTCCCACTGGACTACTTTTTAGAATCAGTGCATTGTCAATCCATTCACCTTACAAGTGATACTAGAGTTCACCAGCGCACTCTTATTGATAGAGATTAATTACTTTTTAAAATAATCAAAACCCGGTCCAAGCGATCGCTCATAGGCAATATCAGACTACAGAATAGCTTACCATTAAATTTTCGTTGGAGAAAAAGAAAGGTCATGTGCTGGAACGGCATGGTTGGTGAATAGATGTAACGTAATTTGTATGTTACACAGGAAAGACTTGAGAGGTCACTTTAGTCGCTCTAAGAGTTATTTCTGCAGGAAGTCAAACCAGGATGGATTGCAATTAGGTAGCTTGCGCCATTTTCGGCTGTATGTTTTCTCAGCGAAGGAGACAAAACTTGACACGAAAGACTGTTTTCTCAAGCTAGAAATGAATAAGATCCCTTTTTTGGCGTTTTCCCGCCAATTCTCCCTGGGTTCCTTCGGCTGAAACCGGAAAGGGACGGGGATGCCATTCTAAAAAAAAAAATGGTTTTAAAAATTTAATTAATCTGATCTTCGCACCAATTAACAGTAGCCTCCAATAGTTAGTCGACTTCAAAGTAGACATAGACACATATTAAAGTTCTCACAGCAACCAGGTGGACAATCAGACATGGCGGTTTGCTTCCTGACGCCTATTTACACCTCGTCAGAAAAAAGGCCGCTAATTAATGATCATATAAAAGGACCTTGTTGCAGCGTTAGATCACCCCTGATGAAGGCACTAGACAGGAGTGTCGAAACGTTAGGTCTATGAATTATCACTTCTTCGGTCATATTCATTAAATCTGTAAACCAGAGTAGCATCAAACCATGTCTAGACATGCACATTTACAATGAATTTATGTTATCCCAAGTGGCCAATAGATTGCACAATCAGACAGAAAACGAACTATGATAAAATTAAAAAGGGGTTGATTGGGTGCTGAGTAACCCCTTCATGATACCTGCCGAATATTTGAAAATTTCCGGAAGTGAAAGGTGGCAAGTCGTTACCGGAAAATGTTTTTCTTTGTTGGTTGCAGGCCAAAAAGAAATGTCTGAATATGGATGAAAATATGCCTTTCTACAGCGTATAGACCATTTAGCGATTAGTTGTGAAGGACTTACTTTCAATTGGAATTAAATTTGTTAGTTTGGTGCACAGATCGTTCAAGATATGTTTTGAAAACCGATACGAGTTTATGTGGCTGCAATCCGCTAATGACAAAGAGGTATTGACAAACATGATATTGCTTACGTAACGGACACTCCCCACCATATTTGAATTTTTTCTCGCTGACCTCTGTTCGATAAATAGCATATAAACCGGATCACAAAAATAATCAATACTCCATTTCATCACGAGCAATATCTCCTGAGGAATTTCTTCCCAATATTCCTTGGTGACTCCACTAAATTTCTTGGGCCTATCAAACATGGAAAAGTAGTATATCTCTTTCATCACTGGACTAAAGATCTCAAGGCAGGCAAAGTGTCTGGATGAAATTAAACTGTTGATAACTTGGCTCAAAAATTAGTCTGGAGGAAATTAGAAGTAAACAATGCTGAGCTTTGTTATTTTTTACATGATGAGAATTTCACACTACATCTAGAATTGTATATTCTACTTAGTGACTCAAGGTCATTGTTTAGAACTTGTTGAGAGAAACCGGATAAGGATCAACCTTGAAAATTAATGCGTTACTCATGCTGACCCCCTGGAGGTATCTGCAACTCGAAACGTGTGTAAATTTCTTTTGCCGCTCTCAGTGCGAGAGAAGATTGACATTCTAGTAAGTGTAAACATCAACTATGGCTGAAACATAAACCATTTAGTGATTCAAATGTTAATTTTTGGAAGCATTTAGAGACTAAGGCTTCTTGTTTTTGCGATATTCCTTCGATAGGAGTGGACAAAGTCGTCTCTTGCGAGTTTCTCGCTGGTACGGAATGAACTTTCTGTGCTATCAGCTGTTGGTTGGAGGCCTTCTGTTAATTACAGCGAACGAAGGTAAGGAAACCGAAGAAACATTTTACTAATGTCGTTCCTGCTTTATCGTTGATCCGTGAAACGCTAAATCGCAACACAGATGCTTATTAGGCGATTGATAAGTCGACTCTTGTTGTTTCTCAGGCATAGTTCACTCTGAAACGAGGATCTCCGATTTCTATTCCGCGGCTTTTGCCAAACACATGTGTAAGAAGCACTGTGTCAAGGTTACTTCATTTAAAAATTAGTCATTCGCTTTATCTTTAACAACAGAAGTTTGGTGTCGCCTAAGCGAGATTAAACCAAAGAATTTAAGGCCTTTTTTTCAGCATACCTTAAATTACAGCATTATAAAGATACCACTCACTGCTTTTTCTCGAGCGCTGCCGCTCCCGTGGCATATTTTCTTCGAATCCGTGCTCCTTTGACCTCTCGTGAACGACATAACGCAAATCCAGACATTGATGAAAACTCGGCAGTTAATTGCTGTTTAATCTGTTTTTGCACTACCCTTTTTACGTGTTTTCAAGCCATGCACCATCCTTAGAACCGATTTGGGTATTAGTAAAGAGGACTACAAACTGCCATAATGTAAACTCACCAACGTTAGAGGCTTTATCTCATTCTTATCTCAAACATGAGCTATAAAAAATGGACGTGGCACCTCGCATCGATGGCTATCATATAGACCGCAAATTCTACTCATTCTTTAGATCATCATCTACTCGTTACAACAGCTATCTGCAAGCTCCTTCCATTTGCTGTTGACAGTGCAAGAGTAAAGCTCTCCACTGATTAAACCGAAATAGACATTTTCAATAGCTGATCATCTTGAAAATAATAACTGCACAACATTTAATGTTTAGATTCGATCTAGCTGTCTCGTTTTCGTTCTCAGGTTTGAGCATATTGAGATGATTTAAAACCTTTACACGAGAGTATCGACTCAAGCCCAAGTCATAAATGGCGTCTCTAATAATGACCTTTTTTATATATATGATTAGAAAAACTGATATCAGCGTTTTTTCGGTTACGAAACCATGTGTATTCATGTACATAGGTGGGCTCTGACCCCTTCCCACTCCGAGTGAGTGTCACACAACTAATACTGCTTGCCACTTGCCACTTGCCACTTGCCACTTGCCACATGCCACTTGCCTTTTTTTCGATTTTTCTCATACTGTTGTCCTTTTGTTCAATATCGAGTTTAACTTAAACCGGAAAGATATATCTGGTGGCAGCAGACGGGCAAGAAACGATATTATTTCGTGTTGGGCTCGGTCAAAAATTCTTATCGCAATATGTTCGCGTATACCGTACAGATCGAATGAGACCTGTGCAAACCTGAAACCACCCACTGAACACACTAATGTGATTTTACGTAAAAGGTGGAAATTGCGTATTGTGGCCATGTGTTTGATATTCTGGAGCCCCCTCTGTTACGAGTGACATGTGAATTGTCTTTAGATGCCTGTTTTGCGAAGGGAAATAGTGGGTTGAGTGGCTAAACTCATCCCGTGGCATTCAGTAGCGGAAGAATCAGTAAACATCATGCATTGCTACCTTAAACAGGTTCTCAGCCAATTTGATCGCTCCCGGTAACACTCATATTTTCTGGTTGCGCTGGATTTTTCCAACTGGTTACGACTGCAAATTCATCACTTCGTTATCATGCGATGTTCTTCAGACCTTGGTTTTATTCTTTGTAATGTTACGCCATTGAAATTCATTTTAAAATTGAAACATAAATTTAAATGAAGAAATTTACCATCAACTTGCCAATAAATTTTGGAAAAAACTTAAAGCTAATTAATTAAATTGCATTCGCATTTTTGCGATGGTGTCAAGAAAAATCCTATGGTATTGTTCTCTATTATTTTGCTTAACTTTACCTTTGATTGATTGTGGTATAGCCATTTGTCATAAGAATTTAAAGTTTTAAAGGAATTTGTAAAGTTATTTTTCTATCTTCGCATCTATCAGATTTGATCCGGTCGGATCAAGGTTTGATATGTTGATATGACCTTTTCTCAGTTGGTTACGTAAAAATTGTAGAGTCTTGCGCCGCGCAGATCAACGAGATCCAGACTGATGGGCGGTGTGTTTGTTTATCTCGTTTTAAATGAAACTTAGATGCTGAGGACAACATCAGTGTGCAACCGTTCTAGGTAGAGTGAAAGAAGAATAATCAATTCAAAAATGCAGTTTTGTTAAAGCTCTCGACATTTTATTTCGCCATGTCCACCGTAAGGTTGCAGCAATGTTGCTTTACTTTAATTGCCTTTTTAAGGACGTGCCGTGTCTCTTGATGTTCGCCTAATCCTTGCTATGATATGTTTAGAGTGAACTGTCATTCTGCAAAATGGAATTATTTGAGACGTTGATTTTAGTTAATTCTTCAAGGAATTTGGGCTGTGTAGCCGGATGCCCTTATTAGCATTCTGCGGTCATGTAGTTCCGCAATTTAAAGCGCTTGAGAACCGCGTTATCCGCCGTTTCCTGGCACTTATTTATCAAAACAACTTTGCAGCACGGTTTGAAAGCTTTCACTCCATAACTTGAACAATAAAAACAGAAAAAGCACAGGGATGTTATGATAAATAATAATAGGGGTGTCATTGCCGCTAACTCATTAGCGTCTTTCTGTTTTAAAACTCTGTCGCGATTATCAAAGACATTTTGTTGGTGAGATTTCTTAGTC